AAACAGGTCAAAAACAGGCCAAGACAAAGGTCAAAAATGGCCAAAAAACAGGCCCCCCAAAAGGTCAAAAACAGCCAAAAAGCAGGCCCCGAAAAAGATCAAAAACGGCCAAAAACAGGCCCGAAACAGGCCCAAAATACAGCCCCAAAACAGGTTGAAAACGACAAACAGGCCCAAATACGGCCCGAAAATGGCAGAGTGCTGCAGGATGCCATGGGGGCTGAAAACAAGTAGCAGGGGGTCCGCATGCAGACCCCCCCATGCCCTGTTTTGGCCAGCAGGTTTATTTGTTTATTTGATTTATTTGATTGATATTGCCACCTATTCGCCCGTGGCAATTCAGGTTGCTGCAGGAGGCACCGATCCCCCCCCCCCAGCCCTGCCCCCCACCCCCAGAACTAAAACGCTGATCCAACCTGCGAAGATAATCCAGTTTGACACCCGGGCTTAAAGCCCACCTCGCTTTCTCGCCTTTGGCTCTTCAACCACGTTCTTCTTGGAGTAATTTCCCTCTTTGTCTCCTTTCCGCTCGGCATAGGCCGCGTGGCTCGGGCCGTGGCGTCCCCCGGGCAGCACATGCTTGGGGCGGACGACGTGGTGAGCTGCTGCCTGGATTTGAGTGTGCCCAGCATCTCTTTCCGCATCAACGGCTTCCCGGTGCAGGGCATGTTTGAGAACTTCAACCTGGATGGGCTATTCTTCCCCGTGATTAGCTTCTCGGCGGGCATCAAGTAAGCTCGACCCCGCAGTAGGGCGTCAACTAAACGGATACTCCTTCGGTCTGTTTAGCTGCCAGAAAAAGCGAGTGTGGGGAAAAATAAGGCATTCCTTAAATTCCTAGATTCCGTGTTGGCGAACCTATGCCACGCGTGCCGGAAGTGGCACGCGGAGCCATTTCCCCCGGCACGGGGGAGAGGTCGTCCGGAAGAGCCTCACTGCGCATGTGCATGAATGCCACCACCCGGCAGCTGATTGTTGGGTATCTGGCACGCAGGGGCGGAGGGGAGGGTGTGTAGAAGATGTGCGTGCCTGCGCGGGGACATGCTACAGGTGAGGGGGGAATGGCATGCACAGATGCGTGGCGCGTGAGGAGGGAGTCGTGTGCGCTTGTGCAAAGATGCATAGTGTGTGAAGGGAGAGCTCCACCTCTAGGCCGCCGCACCACTCGGAAGTGCCAACATATATCCCGTTAATGAACAAGCTCCTACAGGGTTTCCTGCTCTCCCTTCCTGCCAGGGTGCGGTTCCTCCTGGGGGGTCGCCACGGAGAGTTCAAATTCCTGCCACCTCCGGGCTACGCTCCCTGCTACGAGGGTGTCCTTCCCCGTGAGAAGATGCGCGTGGAGCCCATCAAGGAGTACAAGCACGACATCAATGGCTTCCGGAACCTCCTGGGCCCGACCCAGTCCTTGTCCCACACGTCCTTCATCCCTTACCCTGTGGATACTGTCCAGGTAGGGACATCCGGGCTTCCTTGGGCAGAGAACCTGAAAACCGCATGTGGGAAAGCAGCAATTTTACGGCCCGTAGAGTAAAATAGGTTCTGAGTGGGATGGCTGGCAGGACCCGTGGGTACATTCTCCTTCCTTCCTCCTTCCCCCCATCCTCCCTCCCTCCTTCCTTCCCTCCGTCCCTCTTCCTTCCCTTCCTTCTTCCTTCCTTCCTCCCTCCCTCTCCCCTCTCCTCCTTCCTTCCTACCACTTCCATCCTTCCTTCCTTTCTCCCTCTCTCCCTCCCTCCTTCCTTCCTTCCTCTCTTCTGTCCCTCCTTCCTCTCTCCCCTCTCCTTCCTCCCTCCTTCCTCTCTCCTCCCTCCTCCCTCCCTCTTCCCTTTCTTCCTCCCTCCCTCCTTCCTTCCCTCCGTCCCTTTTCCCTCCCTTCCTTCTTCCTTCCTTCCTCCCTCCCTCTCCCCTCTCCTCCTTCCTTCCTACCTCTTCCTTCCTTCCTCTCTTCCGTCCCTCCTTCCTCTCTCCTCCTTCCTCCCTCCCTCTTCCCTTCCTTCCTCCCTTCCCTCCCTCCTTCCTTCCTTCCTCTTCCCTCCTTCCTCTCCCCCCTCCTTCCCTCCCTCCTTTCTTCCTCTCTCCCCCCTCCCCCTCCTCCCTCTTCCCTCCCTCTTCCTTCCCTCCCTCCCTCCCTCCCTCTTCCCTCCCTCCTTCCTTTCTCCCTGTTCCCGCCTTCTTCCCTCCCTCCCTCCTTCCTTCCACCCTCCCTCCCTCCTGCAGCTACACAAATAAATTCATTCTTCTGATTGATGGATTGATAATCAACCAACCTAATCAAACAGACTTGCGTTAATATGTATACAGCATGTATGATTGAAACGGGGGGGGGGAGAATGGGGGTAATACTATAGTTTAAACAAAGCTGAGATCTGATTACAGATCAACTTACAACCATAGTTGAGCCCAAAATTTCTGTCACTGGGGGGTAGCATTGATTAATTGAGTTTTGTCCCATTTTAAGACCTTTCCTGCTGCGGTTGTTAAGTAAATCACCACCGTTGTTAAGTCCGTAGCCCGGCTGTTAAGTGAATCGGGCTTCCCCGTGGATTTTGCTCATCAGAAGATTCGCAAAAGGGGTTCACGTGACCCCCCCCCCCGGGACACGGAAACCGTCATAAATACGAGTCAGTTACCAAGCGGCTGAATTTTGATCGCATGACCATGGGGATATTGCAGCAGTCATAAGTGTGGGAAAAATGGTCATACGTCACTTTTTTCCCTGCCGTTATAACTTTGAATGGTCACTGCATCAGCTGTAAGTTGTAAGTCGAGGACTACCTCTAGTAAGCAGTCTGCTACTAAAAAGCACCTTTTAATAGCCTTGTTCTCCTCCTTTTTCCTTTTTTTTAAAAAAAAATCCCTGCAGATCGTCTTGCCTCCGCACCTTGAGAAGATCCGGGAGAAACTGGCAGAGAATATCCACGAATTGTGGGCACTCACTCGCATCGAGCAGGGATGGATTTACGGGCCGGTGAGTTTTGCTCTCCGGGAACCAGAGGTTGGAGGTTACTGTGCCTTTCCTTTTTTAAAAAAAGAATCGTTGTACATTTTCCATTATTATTCAACACATTTTCAATTTTGCAACACCTCTGTACTGGTTATATCAAGTCCTTAAAAAAATATACATCACAGTATACAATCCTGGTTATAACTGTGATTCTCATAGTCATGCTATCGGGGCTCCAGCCGTTACCCCCATTTAAATCCTGAGTCTCCAGCCGAACTTGCAAAACTTAAAGAAGATTTATTAGGAGTAAACATGCCGGTGCTGCCTGGGTGTAGCCGACTCTGAGACACAACATTCATTGTCACCCTTGACCCTGGTTTCCCCTGGGTGTATCATAATTCGTATCCTCCAATGGGACACATCCATAGCCAAGAGTCATCAATCATGCTCTCCAGTTAGAATTTTGCATGGCAGAAACTTTGGTCACCTAGAAACTATCTTTGAAAACATTTATGGAATGCAAGTTTCCCGCTGCTCCCACTTCCCTTTCTGTTGGCACCTCTAAAAAGACCATAGAAATATTTGATGAATTGACGCATGCAGTATAGTCTCTTTTGTCTACATAGTGTTGTACGTCATAATTAACAACTATTATTTTCATAGTGTTATACGCTACTGCGTTTATTACTCTATACACTTTAAATAGAAGGGACGCGATGGCTCAATGGCTAGGACACTGAGCTTGTCGATCGGAAAGGTCAGCAGTTCAGTGGTTTGAATCCCTAGCGCCGCATCATGGAGTGAACTCCCGTTCCTTGTCCCAGCAGCTTCTGCCAACCTAGCAGTTCAAAAGCGTATAAAAAATGCAAGTAGAAAAATAGGGACCACTGAGGGGGGAAGGGAACAGCGTTCCGGGCACCTTTGGCGTTTAGTCATGCCGGCCACATGACCATGGAGACGTCTTCGGACAGCGCTGGCTCTTTGGCTTTGTAATGGAGATGAGCACTGCCCCCTAGAGTCAGAAACAACTAGCACGTATGCGCGAGGGGAACCTTTACTTTTTACCTTTACACTTTACATTATATTCACGGAGGTTGCCATGCCTTTCCTTGTGTGGAAACAAGAAAGATTGTGTAGCCTTCGGCGTCTTTAACAAGCCACCGTGAAGCCGGGCACCTCGCAATGATGTCGCACAAGGGATGCGAACTTTATCTTTCCTGTCATTTGCGGAATAGGGAATCCTAGCCTGGAGAATGTCAGATCCTTTTCCGCCACTCGATGAAATTGTAAACGAGGTTTCCCCTGATCCACCATTGTTTCATCTCAGGTCCGGGATGACAACAAACACCTGCACCCATGTTTGTTGGATTTCCACAGCCTTCCTGAGCCGGAGCGCAATTACAACCTGCAGATGTCAGGCGAGACCCTCAAGTGAGTGATGGTTGGGGGGAAATCCCTGGGAGATAACTTGAAAGGATCTACTGGATCTACTGAGCCGTGGCCTCCTGTGTAGTCCAGGTCTTTGGGTTATAGCCAGGGGTGGGATTCAACAATCGCAGCAACTGGATCGCTGCCCGGTTGCTGGGTGGGCATGCCCATGGTGGGCGTGGCCTACTGGATCTTCAGGGAGGGGCATTTTTTGCCTTCCCCAGAGTCCGGAGGCTTCCCTCGGGCCTCTGGGAGGGCGAAAATGGCCTCCACCAGGCTCCCGAGGGCCTCTGGAAACAGGAAACAGGCCCGTTTCCAGACTTGTGGAACATCCGGAAGGACCGTTTTTCACCCACCCGGAGCCTCCACATGGACCTTGCACTTACTTACATCCGAAACAGGCCACGTGGAAACTCCTAGGAGGGAGGAGCAGGGTGGGTGGGGCCAGCTGGTCGGTTCAACTCCCAGTTTGGCAAACCAAACTTAAATTTAACATCCAGTTCGCCCGAACTGGTCTGAACTGGTAGAATCCCACCCCTGATTATAGCCCATGATGGAGATTGCATGGACATTTGGATAAAGGTTGCTTCACAGTGACAACAGAGGAATTTGGTTGGCTAAAAAGAAACTGAGGAAGACACTACAGATGGAAACTCTCCATCAATTCAAACGGAATTGGTCTGGGTGAAGCATAAAGGAAGCGTGGGGTCCTTGGAGCTCTCCGAGTTGGATTGTTTCCTGGTAGACATTCTACCACCCAACTAGAGAACATCATCAGTGCTAGAAGGGAGTGGGGTTTGTTTATATATCAGTGGCATACCCAATCAGCGTTGGTGGGCGAGTTCTTGGAGATGTCTTGATTAGCCTGCTGTTTACTATTAGCTTGTTTGTCTGAGTTGGTGCTTCCTCGATTGGAGTACGGTTTGCTCCTTAACTTTTGGTCCAGAAGGAAGTGCAATCAATCTCAATCAGAATAAGAGCTGGGAGGGACTTTGGAGGTCTTCTAGTCCAAACGCCTGCTCAAGTAGGAGACCCTATACCATTTCAGATAGGTGGCTGTCCAGTCTTTTCTTTAAAATCCCCGGTGATGAAGCACCTACAACTTCTAGAGGCAGGCTGTTCCACTGGTTCATTGTCCTCACTTGTTAGGAAGTTTCTCCTTAAGCTGCAAATGTAGTGTTTCAATTCGTTGGATAATAGCCATGGCACCTGGACTTCTTTACTGTTTCACGGTGCTTTTACAGCTCTCGTGATTTACAGTCAGCCTCTTGCCCCCGACAATCTAGCTCCTCATTTTACCCACCTCGGAAAGACGGAAGCCTGAGTCCAACTTTGAGCCCGGTGAGATTCGAACTGCCAAATTACAGGCAGCCTGCAGTACTGCACTCTAACCACCGCGCCACCGAGGCTCAATCTAGCTGAGCTGTTAACAGTGTAGTTTCTCAACACAGGGCAGATTTTGTGGAGCGTCCTTGGGGCTTGAAGCGTGTGGCGCCATATTTGCTACCCAAAGGAGAACGGGGGTGTGGCTTAGCTCCTCCCCACCCACCCAGCATAATTACGATCTGATCTCTTCCTTTGCAGGACCTTGCTTGCTCTGGGCTGCCATGTGGGGATGGCGGATGAGAAAGCCGAAGAGAACCTCAAGAAAACCAAGCTGCCTAAAACGTAACCGCTTTGGCTCCAGTGTGCTGGGTGTGTAGAGAGGCTGGTTTTGCCTATAGCATCCTAAGTGTCACACCTTTGCAGGTACATGATGTCCAATGGCTACAAACCAGCACCCTTGGATCTCAACCACATCAAGCTCACACCAGCCCAAAATACGTTGGTGGACAAACTGGCTGAGAACGGACACAATGTCTGGGCACGGGATCGGGTCCAACAGGGCTGGACGTACAGCGTTGTGCAGGTATGGGACTCCAGAGGAAAGGTTTTCTAGCGCAGCGGTCCCCAAACTTAGCTCGGCGGCCCGGTGGGGTGGGTTGAGGAGAGAGAGGATAGTTCCCTGCGAGTGGCAGGTGGGTGGCCATCAGCGTGCACAGATCCTTTTGTGTGAATGGTCGGTATGCGCTCTATAAGTAGAGACGTGCACAGACGTGCACTCAAATATCCCCTTGTACAAGTGCCGTCCGCTTGTGCTTGTACACAAAACTCCCCTCTATAAGTAGAGGGGAGTTTTGTGTACAAGCACAAGCAGACGCCACTTGTACAAGGGGATATTTGAGTGCACGTCTGTGGGCGTTTGCTGCTTGTGCGGCCAATTTCCAAACAGGCCGCAGCCCGATAGTGGACCACAGCCCAGGAGTTGGGGACCGCGGTTATATGGGGTGTCAGCGTTTTGAGGAATGAGTCCAAAGAAATCAGAACTCTAAGGGAGGGAGGTCCCTCAAAGAACATGCTTATTGGATACATCGTATTGGTACGGCTAGTGAAAACCAACTCTGAAGTTTCCCGCGGTTATAGCATAATTAAAAGGGAAACTGTTTCCCTCCCCAAGTGTTCCACATCACATTGTCCAATTAAATCCGTTGGCGGGCTCCTTGGTCACTCCTTTCCTCCTTCAACTGCCCCCTGTTGGGATGACCTTGGTTCCCACAGGAAGGCTCTTCGTTATTGTTCTGACCCAGCCTTCGCAGAAGCAAGAAACCGACTCCCTGCGAAGCAAAACCCCTTTAATTACACCTTGGGAATTAATTGCATTTACCAACAGAAAGTCCAGCCAAGAGTCCTGCAAGAAGTTAACTGAAGCAATAGTTCTCATCAGCTCATTATGATAAATGCAAGGCTGTGCGCTCCCAGCCGGGAGGCTGAAAATTTAAGTCAGAGAAATAGACAAACCTCCGTTCTGGCAAGGCAGTCTTTGTAGCAGGAAACACACAAGGAGCAAATGTTCCAGAAATGCAAATGGTTGTTGCAACAACTCAACTACTCCCCTTTTCCTCCTATTTATTCCCCAGCTACGGAGGGGGCCATTGAGCGTCCCTGTTTGTTTTGCTTCCCCGAGCCAGCTCATTGTCCTCCGTTATTCACCTATCTGCTCTAAGCATACGCACCTCTGGAACAAGCCCCAACTACTCCTCCTCCTCACTTATCTCAGACTCCAAAGGCAGCTGTCTCTCCGGTGGCTGGGAAATGTCGGTCAGCCCTGGCTCTGTGTCTGACACTGAGCAGCCATCAGAGACTTCCCCAGGCTCCAGAATTGGCTCAAGTTCTTCCCCAACCTTCTCATCCTCTCAAGTCTGGTGGGCCATGACAGTTATGTCTGCGAGACAGTCTATCTCCGTGATGGCGAACCTGTGGCACGTGGCATGCACAGCCCTTTGTGCCGGCACACAAGCTACAGGCGAACTTAATCTCACTGTTCACGCTTCACAGCTGATTTCCGGCCGGTTTGAGGCCTTTTTCAGCCTCACAAAGGCTTGAGCAGGCTTCTGCAAGCTTTGTGGGCCGAAAACTAGCCCCGTTTTGTCACTTCCGGTATTTTCGGAAAAACAGGAAGTGATGAAACGGAACTAGTTTTCAGCCTGCAAAGCTTGCAGAAGCCTTCCTCAAGCCTTTGGGAGGTCAAAAAAGGCCTCAAACCGGCCAAAAATCAGCTGTGCGGCGCAGTGCAGGTAAGGGGGTGGCAGGAGGTGGGTGGATTGCATGCACATGTGTAGGGGGCGTGGGGGGGTGCCTTGCCTTCTGGGTGCTGGCACGCAAGCGTGCTAGCACGCACACAATTTTTGGCACAGGAGCCCAAAAAGGTTAGCCACCGCTGGCCTATCTACTTCCCCCCCTTTCCCTCCCCCCAGAGTACGTGACAACTAGGAAGCAGAAAAAAATGGCTTCATCCAGGTTCGATTCAGTGTTGACATGGGGTCCCTGTGGACCGATGGCTGAAAGCGACAACTTGGCAGGGGAAGGGACTAGTGGAAGGCACGGTATGGGATGAGGGACCACCATGGTGGTATCTGGTGGTGTGCCACAAGATTCCAGGTCGTTTCCTCCATTCCTACCAGCTTTCGAGTACAATGCGTGGGGCTTGGCGATGTGTTTTCTTAAGCTGCTTCGTGTTCATAGACCTGCGTGTCTTCCTCGGGCTTGTAGGACATCAAAAACAAGCGCAACCCCCGCCTGGTGCCCTATCACCTCCTCGATGAGAGGACCAAGAAGACCAACCGGGACAGCTTGCGGGAAGCGGTGCGAACCCTCCTTGGCTACGGATACAACATTGAACCCCCAGATCAGGAAGCCCGTGAGTGTCCTTCCATTCTTCAGCCTTTGGTTTCTACTCCTTAACCTCAGATGAACAAGAGTTGGAAGGGACCTTGGAGGTCATCTAGTCCAAACCCCCCCACCCACCCACCCAAGCAGGAGACCCTACACCATTTCTGACAAGAGGGCAGTCCAGTCTCTCCTCGAAAGCCTCCAGTGATGAAGCTCCCATAACTTCTGAAGGCAACTTCTGTTCCATGGGTTGATTGTTCTCAGTGTCAGAAAATTTCTCCTTATTTCCAGGTTGAATCTCTCCTTGATCAGTTTCCATCCATTATTCCTTGTCTGGACTTCGGGTACCTTGGAAAATAGCTTGAATAGCTTCCAATATTGGAAGGCTGCTCTCCTGTCTTCCCTGGTCCTTCTCTTCACTAGACTAGCCAGGCCCAGTTCCTGTAACCATTCTTCATACGTTTGATCCTTTTAGTTGAATTCATTGATTCTATTATTATGTTGATATGCCACCCATTTTGCAGTCAAGAAGCTCTGGGCAGCTTTCATATAGACAGAGACATGAAAACCTAAAATATTAAATCAACCCAAAATAATTGGAGCAGCCCAGAGTTCATCACAACAGCAAGATGGGCAGCATAAACATTTAATAAGTAAATAAACAAGTTACGAACCAGATTACTACGAAGTATAATATGATTGTAGGAACTGGGTAGGACTGCTTTAAAGGAAAGAAGCAACCTGGAATTAAAGAGAAACTTCCTGACAGGACAATTAATCAGCTGAACAACTTCCCCCAGAAGTTGTGAATGCTCCCAACACTGGACGTTTTTAAGAAGAGATTGGATAACCATTTGTCCAGAATGATTGTTCTGACCCAAACCTGGTTGCAAGAGAGCCAAACACAAGACAAAGGCAGCAGCACAACCTTTTAATGTTTCCTCTATGGATCCTGTTTCTTCACAGATTGAAGGCTGCTTCCAACTAATTAGCTCCAACATTGAAGAGCCTTGCCAAGTTTTTGCAAGGCTGCCCAAAAACAACAGATAAGGAATATTTTACAACACAAGAGTCTTCAAATGCCAACTGTAATGTCCACGAGGCTGAGTTTCAAAACGTCTTTGCTTCCTGCAAAGAACGTTCGCTTCACAGCTGGCTTTTATCTTCTTGAAGGCGGGGCCATCACCTTGCAGCCTTACTCCCGAGTCGCCCTTGCTGCTGCAGCTGCTCTTTCCTGCAAGCAGCCCTGCGCGCACGCACACTTGGCACAGGCTCCTCGGGAACCTCATCGCTGCTGCCAGCCCCCACAATCTCTGAAGGCAGCAGTCTACTCCCTAATGGTCCTCATCTGAGTCCTCACTCTCTCTCCTCAACCGTCCGCACCTGCTACCGGCTAACCACAACAATAGTATAGAATTTCTGTTTTGGCAGGGGGTTGGTCTAGAAGATCTCCATGGACTCCTTCCAACTCAAGTGGACTTACTTAAGTGGAGGTGGGTGTGGAGTGTCCCTTTGGTCTTTGTTTTTTCCATCCTCCCATCTTCTTGGTCTCTGAACAGCTCTAGAACTGGCCAAGGGCCGGCTGGATAAAGTCCGCATTTTCCGCGCCGAGCAGTTCTACGCAGTAAAGACGGGCAAGTGGTATTTTGAGTTCGAGGCCGTCACTACTGGCGAGATGCGGGTCGGGTGGGCCCGCCCGAACGTGAGACCTGACGTGGAGCTGGGCGCTGACAACCTCTCCTATGTCTTCAATGGGCATCGGGTGAGTCTGGGCTGCTTCCTCCTCTTCCTCCTGGGCTGGCCCTTGGTCGTCTTCGCGTTCCCTTTTCCCTGAAGGATCCTGTTCTGACCTAGGCTTCCCAACAGCCAACTCCTCGTCCCGATAAAACCCCGTTTTGGGGGCTACAGTGAATTCCGTCTCATTCACAAGTAGCAAAGTCCCGCCAAACAGTCTTTCCAGAGATTTCACAACTAAAAACCTTTATCAGGCTTGGACAGCTGCCAGGCCGATAGCTTCCAGACGCCACTCTGTAGCAGACAATACTTGGCAAGGAGCCAGGAACAGATCTTCACCCGAATGAAATGAATGAATGGTCTCCTGCAAACCCCACTCCCCTTTTGCTCCTCTTTTATTCCCTATGGGGGGGTGGGCATTCATCATCCACCTGTGGCTTTACTTCTGAGTCGACCCTTGTTTCTTAGCTGTTCCCTTCTCCTGGAAGCTCTGTGCATGTGCACACTGGGAACAGGCTCCAGCTGTTCTTCTTCCCCACTGATCTCTGACTCCGAAGGCAGACTCTCTGACGCAGAGGCCCTATCAAAGCCTTCCCCAGACTCCAGGACTCACCCATGTTCCTCCCCTTGTCAAGATTCTGGCAGTTTTATAAATTGACACCCCAACCTCCTCACTTGCCGAGTTTGCCGCTCTGCTGGCCGCTGGCGGGCCACAACAGATCCTTTCCGTTTGTGTCCGTCTCGCAGGGTCAACGTTGGCACGTAGGGAGTGAGCCTTTTGGTCGCCCATGGCAACCAGGAGATGTGGTTGGATGCATGATTGACCTGACGGATAACCACATCATGTTTACACTGAATGGGGAGATGCTGATCAGTGACTCGGGATCAGAGCTGGCCTTCAAAGAAATAGAGATCGAAGATGGTAAGTATAGCGTTCCCAAATCTCGGATCTTTATTCCTCAGAGGCTGAACAACAGGGGTGGGATCCTGCAGGTTCGCACCTACCGGTTGCTAACATTCTAAGCAGTTCGGAGAACCAGTTGTTAGAAGAAATTACTGGACTAATCCTGTAAGAAAGGCAGGAAGGAAACATTCTGGTGTTGCTCAAAGAAACTGCCTCTCCGTTAATCCTTATTACATTCTTGGCAGGACTAGACTTCCTGTCTCAGGAACTTCTCTGGAGTTTTTTTCCCCCTCCTTTGCTTGTGTGGAGTGACCATTCAAAGTTACAATGGCACTGAGAAAAGTGACTTATGACCGTCACACTTGGCCAATAAAGAATTCTGTTCTATAATCCGCTGTCCTCACCACTCTCTGCACACCCTTATCTGTCCAATACTCGTGGAGGCTGAACATTTATTTATTCATTGTTGGCGACCTAAGTTTGTTGTTTTCCTCCTCATCTTTCACAGGCTTCATCCCAGTGTGCAGCTTGGGCCTCTCCCAAGTGGGACGACTCAACTTGGGTCAGGATGTCAGCAGCCTTCGCTATTTCACCATCTGTGGTCTCCAAGAAGGTTACGAGCCCTTTGCAATCAACACAAAGCGGGAAGTCACCATGTGGTTCAGCAAAAGCCTGCCTCAGTTTTCCCCCGTGCCCGATGAGCACCCTCACTACGAGGTGAGAGCAGGAGGCTAACTTGAGGGTGGAGCCTTGGAGGCTGTGTCCTGTGGCAGGTGTGCTTTGGGACTCAAACATTGACAAGGAGAGCTCCATGTTTGAGAAGCAACCATGGCAGTAAGAGGACATTCTGAAACGGGAGGGATTTATGAGCAAGATACTTTTGAGTTGGCTTGGTGAGGAGAAAGGGGCCGCCATTTTGAACGACTGGGAGCTGGAAGGGATTTCGAAGCTTGGTGGGTGCCATCTGAGGAAGCTTCATGAGTCAGATAGTGGCCTGGCATGGAGAAAATGTGGCAAACAGGTGAACCAGAGGCACTAATAATAGCATCTGTGAGGATTGGTTTGTTGTACGGCAAAATTGTGGTTGAACTCACAACTGATGTGAGATGAGAGATTTTGCATGGCTGAGAGGAAGTGTGGTTATTGGGTTATTGGTCTGGAAATTCATATCTCCTTCCAATGTTTTTCTGATGCCACCTCCATGTCTACATGACCTATCAGAAGATTGGTAACATTGAGCAAGTTAAATTTTACCACTGACCTTTCTACTAACGAATATTTGTTTATAAGTTGTGGAGGACTCTAAAGAAGTGTTCTCCATAATTCGTTGAAAAACAGCCATGGAAGGTTAGGATGAGCCTGGGACGAAGTTTGTCCATTGCTCCTCTAACCTTCTGCTTTGGTCCTCCGTGGGCAGGTGTCACGTATTGATGGCACCGTGGACAACCCGCCATGTCTAAAGCTGACGCACCGAACGTTCGGCTCCCAGAACGCTGTTGTGGAACTCCTCTTCCTGCGCCTCAGTATGCCAGTGGAATTCCATGAGAAGTTCAAGGTCCCCGCCGGTACCACTCCACTCACTCACGCGCTCACCATCCCCGAAGATGAAGTCAAGGAAGTTGACCTTGATTCCGAGTTTGAGCAGTTGAAGAAAACCGCCAGCCGCAAGGAAGCTGAGGAAACCGAGAAGGAGAAACAAGGCCCGGGTTCTCCAGCCGCTCACAAGGAGTCATCCAAAGAGGCCCCCAAAGCAGAGAATGAGAAGGATTCCTCCAATGAGAAAAGCAAAGCCAAGAGAGGGTAAGAACTCAATGGAAAGCTTACCGGGGGATCAAGAGATCTCCTAGGGGGGAGATGATTGGGTTCGAAAGGAATAATGAAGATCTTTAGATATCGGAGTGGGAGAAGAAGCGTTCTTGGTGTGGGAGGCTATCAACGTGATCAGACAAGTAGTGATTCTAAACTAGTTCCGACAGAGTTGAGCAGGATTCATTTCCAAGAAGTGTGCCTGGAGAAAAATCAGGTGGGACATCTTAGATGGAGGATGTACTGTCCTTTCTGATCATACCCTCCTTGCTATTTATCTCCTCCAGCTTCTTGTTCAAAGCCAAGAAAGCCACTACCCTCATTACCCCTGCTCCTGTAGTCCCCACAGTACCTCGACTTGAAGAGGAAGTAGTTCCCGATGACCGGGATGATCCAGAGATCATCATGAACACCACAACGGTAAACAGGAACTTGGATATCGAATGACCGAGTACAATATTGTCTGTTCCTACCAGACAATATCCCGATTTGTTTGGAATGCAACTGTGGTGGAATGTAGTCTGGATTCCAAGGCAAGAGAGGCTGCATTCCAAAGGAGTAAGAAACAGTGAAGTTAAGATGGTTTGGTTGGGAAGGTCAAGATTGCACCTCCCTAGAAGTTCCCAGAGTCCATTTTAAAGAGGCAAGGAGAGATTTAACCTGGAAATAAGGAGAAAGTTTCTGACAGAACAATCAACCAATGGAACAGCTTGCCATCGGAAGTTGTGGGAGCAACATCACTTGAGACTTTCAAAAAGAGATTGGACTGCCATTTGTCAGGAATGGTGTAGGGCCTCCCGCTTGGGTGGGGGGTTGGACTGGATGACCTACAAGGTCCCTTCCAACTCTGATTATCTGTTATCTGTTCTTAAATTGGTGAGATGCAAGTATTGGCTTTAGTTTGGCATGATTGATGTAGGATTCCAAAACCCAAGAAAGACACACACAGTTACTTCTAAGCAGTTCAATGTTGTTCCTCACCGATCCATCGAAACTTTGATGGCCTCTTGAGAGCTTCTGGAGAAGACCCATCTTAACTCTCTTCCTTCCTACCAAGCTATCTTAACTTCGCTGTCTCTTATTTCTCTGGAATGCAGCCTCTCCCTCCCTGGGAATCCAGACTACATTCCACCACAGCATTTCTGGCATTCCAGAATGGAACTCCTGGGTGGGGGCAAAATTAGCATGTTCTTTTGATAATCTCTGGTCCATGAGTTATTTACAGAATACTTTTCGTAAGATTTGTATGAGGAACTGTGCGTCCCACGCCATATTGTTTACCCTTTGCACCTTTTCTCTTTCCAACCTAACAGTATTACTACTCGGTCCGGATATTTGCAGGCCAAGAGCCCACTACGGTCTGGGTAGGTTGGGTGACCCCTGATTACCACCAGCATGACATGAACTTCGACCTCACGAAAGTGCGCAACGTCACAGTCACCATGGGTGACGACAAGGGAAATATCCACGACAGGTGAGTGTTATTCTGACCTCTACTGTGCATTATGAATTATGAAGACGTATGCTGTGCATATGACTTCAGCAACAGAGTGGTCAATGCCCAGAATGCTCTACCCAACTCCATTGTTACAGCCTCAACCCCTCACAGCTTCGACCTCAAACTGTCTACCGTGGACCTCACCCCATTCCTAAGAGGTCCTTAAAGGGGGCGTGCATAAACGCACCAATGTACCTATCCTCCCTGTCTTGCTATCCCCATGTACCTGTATTTACTCCCTTTGTTCTTGTTTATGTTCATACTTATACCTGTCATCTTCTACATGTTTGACAAATAAATAAATAAATTATGGATCAGCTACAAGCAATTTCTGAGGAATGGCAGCAGGTTACACTAGAGTGGAGATCTGGTCAGATCTGGGGATGTTTGAAGAGTCTTTTAACCGGTTGAGCAAAGGGTGAAACTACCTTTTGTTGTAAAAATAAAGGGGGGTGCAGTTGCCCAGAAGGATTTGGGAGAAGGAGAGGTGTAACTTCAAACCTTCTGGGTCTCCTATCCAGGGGCTTGTTGTCAGGGCTCCGGTGATCACCCCCATTTAAATCATGAGTCTCTAGCCGGATTTTCAAAGCTTAAAGAAGATTTATTGGGAGTTAACGTGCCCGGCGCTGCCTGGGTATAGCCGCCTCATTCATTATCACCTTTAACCCTGTTTTTTTCCCCCATCCCCTGGGTGTATCATAATTCATATTCTCCAATGGGACACCTCCATAGCCCAGAGTCATCCATCGTGCTCTCCAGTTAGAATTTTGCGCAGCAGAAACTTTGGTCACCTAGAAACCATCTATGAAAACATTTATGGAATGCAGTTTCAGTTTTGCGAGCTGCTGCGCTACTCCCCCCCCTCCCCCCCTTTCTGTTGACAACTCTAAAAAGACCAGAGAAACATTTTATGAGTTGACACTTGCAGTATCTCAAGAAGAAGTAGGTTGAATGTCGTCTCCGCTGCCTCTCCTTTCAACAGCATCAAAAGAAGCAACTGCTACATGGTGTGGGGAGGGGATTTTGTCAGCAGCACCCAGCAGACCCGAGTTAGCACGGTGGATCTGGTGATCGGTTGCCTTGTGGATTTGGCCACAGGGCTCATGACTTTCACAGCCAATGGGAAAGAAGTCAACACCTTCTTCCAGGTAAGCGGATTCGGGATGCGTTCTCCCAAGAGAGTTGACGTGTCAGAGTTTTTACAGTGTGACTACTATTGTGAGACAAGCCAGGAGCAAAACACAGGACCCAGAAGCTTTGCCTTTTAATAGTGGTTTATATACAAGATACTACACGCATATGTTAGGCAAATACCAGGCAAGCAGTCAATCTTCAACTCTAAACCGAGAACTACACTGGAGATAGAACACGAGGAGAGAGAGATACATCCTCTCATGGCCTCCCTTATAGAAACAGCTTGTTAAAGTGACAGTATCCTGCTGACTCATCATCAGTTCGTCAACTTGGCTCACAGCCTTACGGCAGCTATTAAATCTTCATTATTTTAACATTACAGGGGCTGAAATGTATTAGGGAGATGTTTGGGTTGATGGATAAGAAATCAAGATTGTCCTCTTCAGAGGAGTTGGAGGATTAGGGCTCTTGATGGGTCTTTTTGGGCTGCAGAAGACAAAGATGTCAGGTCCACAAACATGAAGCTTTTAGAAAAGGAATCCGGGATAACCAGGGGTGAGAAGATCATAGCAATAGCACTTAAGACTTATATATCACTTTACAGTGCTTTACAGCAGTGGCGGGTTTCAAAATTTTTTTTACTACCAGTTCTGTGGGCGTGGCAGGGTAAGGATACTGTAAAATCTCCATTCCCTCCCCAACCCACTAACCTGCTTTCCAGCTCCGTTGTTCTGCGCAGAGCAACAAAAGAAGACCCAGCCGATCAGCTGGGTCTCGGGAGTCGGAGAAGAGATGCAGGGGGCGGAGCCGGTCAGAGGTGGCATTTGTCGGTTCTCCGAACTACTCAAAATTTCCGCTACCGGTTCTCCAGAACTGATCAGAACCTGCTTTACAGCTCTCTCTAAGCAGTTCACTGAGTCAGCCAATGGGCCTCCCAACAATCTGGGTCCTCATTTGACCCGCCTTGGCAGGATGGAAGGCTGAGTCAACCTTGAGCCTAGTGGGATTTGAACAGGCAGCTGGCAGTCAGTAGTAGCAGCTTGCAGTACTGCACTCTAACCACTGCGCCACCAAAGCTCATCACGTAGGCTTCTCCCAACAATTTGCAAATAATATAACAATAATCCAATCCAGATGATATTCAGCTGGGTATTTTTTTTAAAATAATAATCCATTCCAGAGGATAATCAGATGGGTATTTTTTAAAAATATGGAAAATCAGCACTGGGAGACTGAGAATGGGCCGATTTTATAGCTTTGTGTGAATTATGAATTTACCAAGGCTGGTTGGTGAATTGTGGGAGTTGAAGTCCGCCAGTCTTAAAGCGGCCAAGTTCGGAGACCCCGATCTACGTTGTAAGATGCTACCCTATTTCAGTGTCCTAACCAAAAGATGCCATTTTTATCCTTAGATATTTACGGTTGCTGGAGATCTTTCCTAATAAACTTTGTAATGAAACTTTCTTTTCTTTCTGCCTCTGTTCTCCCACAACTGGTCCATCTCAGGTGGAGCCCAACACAAAACTGTTTCCCGCCGTTGTCGCTCTCCCCACAAACCAGAATGTCATGCAGTTTGAACTGGGCAAACTGAAGGTAAGGCCTTTCCCTGAAGCTGCACGTTGGGGGGGAAAAAAACCAGTATTGCTCCTGGAATAATGAAGGAATCCCACTTGGATCAGGGTGGGTTGGAAATATTATATGCCGTCGGAGTGTTTACAGTGTGACTACAATTGTGAGACAACCCAGGAGCAAAACACAGGATACAGAGGCTTTGTCTTTTAACAATGGTTTATATACAAGACTACTACATACATACATACATGTGTTAGCCAAATACCGGGCAAGCAATCAATCTTCAACTCTATAATGGAGTTAGAACACAAGGAGAGAGAGAAAGAGAGAGAGAGAGAGAGAGAGAGAGATTCCCTCTCATGGCCTCCCTTATATAAGCTTCTTAAAGCGGCAGTACCCTGTTGACTCACCACCTTGGCTTATTGCCTTATAGCAACTGGTCAGCTATTAAATCTTCCTTACATTAACATATGCAGATTAGTTAATTAACCATTTTCTTCTGCTTTTCCAACTCCTTGCGAGACAGAATATTATGCCAATATCAGCTGCCATGTTCCGGAGCGAGCGGAAAAACCCGGAGCCCCAGTGCCCACCTCGCCTTGCCATTCAAATGCTAGCCCCCATGACTTGGAGCCGTATGCCCAATGAGTTTCTACGGGTGGATGTTGCTCGCTTTAGCGACCGTCATGGCTGGATGGTTGAATGCCTGGAACCAAACATAATGATGGCTCTCCACATCCCAGAGGAAAACCGGTGAGAATGTAGCAGTCTTCTATTTCACTTCACAGAAACAGGCTGACACCTCCAGGGTGAGGATTTGGTGTTTCCCAACCCGACCTGGATGGGGGATTCTGGGAGTCGAAATCTGCAGGGTCCCAGATAAAGGAAGACCACTGGCTGAATTTATGGTTCTATCGCTCGGAGGAGTGTGGTGGAATGATGTTGGCGAACTCTCAGCCAGGCATAGAGGAGGAGTCAAGCAGGGAAGTAGCCTTGAGTCCTTGCGCACTGCAAGAGGCCTGACCTCCCCCTTAAGCTCCATGAAATCTTATCTGGTGGCTCCCAAGGGAAAGCAAGCATGGAGAGATTCCTGTAATATAGTTCAAACATAATAAAGTTGCTGGCGTGGAACAGTGTAGTCTGAAATTGTAGGAGGGAGAGGCTCAAAGAGGCCGTGGAGCTGGGTGGAATGTGTCAGCAGACAGGAAAAGCCTTCCCAAGCAATTCACAGGGTATATCTAATAGTTAATGCAGACATTTGCTTTAGTCTGGCAAGATTCTGTCTGTAGGTGAACGACAATACAGAACCTACTCCACATATCATTCTTGGTTCTTTGGCATTGACAGAGAAAGAACAGTTATAATTATGTTTTTTTAAAAAAATATCCTCTGAAGATATTTAATATTCAGGCTTTCACCTGCTTGCTTAATTTAGCAAAGGGAGGCCTCCATTGATCGATGTAGCTGCTGAACATTGGGAGATAGAAAATGTTCTCCAATTAACAAATGGTTCCACTTTCTAACACCGTGCCAAGCTTGGAACTTCCTCTCTTCTTTGTGATGACCCAAAGGGGCACGGCACAAAGGCAACACAATCACATAAGAAAGTAGAGTCCCTTTTATAATCTCCAACTTTGCCCCCAATGTCCTGGTTACCTTCGGCTGGAGAAAAAAACTCTCCCAAGAAGAGTTTTTAAGTGAAGGAAATTCAGTCCGAAAATAAAGTACATACAAACTGTAAATAAAAATCCACACAAACCAGGCTGCGGCAATTAACTTGACAGGCCAGGAGAAGGAATTGCAGACTTGAAAGGCCAGCAAAATAAACACAGTGGGAAGACGCCAGGAACCCAGATGAGCCTCGACAATAACAGATAACTTATGATTTCCTCCCAGCAAATTTGCTGTGCGCAGCTTCCCTTTTTAAACACTGTGTTCCCAGCTGAAGCTAGTGAAGGGAATCAGGGCCCTTTCCTCCCCCGTAAGTCACGCAACTCAGGTTGCTCCCTTCTCCGTTCCTCCTTGTATGCCCTAGGATGAAGAGGGGGTGGGCCTGGATCTTCCTCTGAATTCCCTCTGCCTTGGTCTACCTCTCCCCTGCTCTGCCCAGCTGGACTTTGCTCTTCCCCAGTTTCTTCCACAGCCATCGGAGCCACACTCCCACTCCCTGTCAGTTGCTCGGCCTCCCCCTCTGACTCAGATTCCGACAGGGGCATGACACTCTATAACTCTCAAACTTTCCCCCCCACCCCCATCCCTCTTTCAGGTGTATAGACATTCTGGAATTGTCCGAGCGCCAAGACCTGTTGACTTTCCATTCCCATAGTCTGAAGTTGTACTGTGCCGTGTGCGCTTTGGGCAACAACCGAGTGGCCCATGCCTTGTGCAGCCACGTGGACGAGTCACAATTGCTTTACGCCATCGAGAGCAACCATCTTCCAGGTCTGCTGCGTAGTGGCTACTACGACCTCCTTATCAGCATGCACCTGGAGTCGGCCAAGCGTTCCCGTCTCATGATGAACAGTGAGTTCATTGTCCCCATGACGGATGAGACCAAGACCATCACGCTGTTCCCGGATGGCATGAAGAAACCCGGGTTGCCCGGGGTGGGCATGAGCACCTGCCTGCGCCCTCCGCTCCACTTCTCTGACACCTGCTTTGTCAGCACCAGCTCTGAGCTCTACCAGCTGAGTCCTTCCATCCCGCTGGATGTGCTGAAGGTGAAGGCCATCAACATGCTGACGGAGGCTGTCCAAGACGGAGGGCAACATACCCGTGACCCCGTCGGGGGTAGTGTGGAGTTCCAGTTTGTGCCTGTTCTGAAGTTGGTCTGCACCCTCCTCATCATGGGTGTGTTTGAGGACGAAGACGTGTGCCATATCCTCAAGATGATTGACCCCAACGTCTTTGGAGAATCCAAAGAGGAGGAGGAAGTCCCGGGGGAAGCTGAGGAGGTGGCAGGGGAAGGGGAAGGGGAAGACCAGGGCTATGTGGAGGAGGAGGAGGAGGAGGAAGCAGGAGAGGAAGAGGAAGAGGAGGAGAAAGAAGCTGGAGGGGAGCAGAAGGAAGAAGCCGAAGAAGGAGAAAAGCAGGAGCTGAAGGCCATCGAGGCTGGAGAAGCTGAAGCCAGAGAAGACGAGGAAGGACTGGAAGAAGGCCTACTGCAAATGAAGCTTCCGGAATCGGTCAAGTTGCAGGTAAAAGGAGGAGCTTTGAGATTTCCCTTCGTTTCTTTCCATTCCTCCAGCTTCACCCTTCAAATACTTGAAGGGGACTTGTGCAGAAGAAAGAAGCTACGTATATCCGTGATGGCGAACCTATGGCACACAAGCCACAGGTGGCACGCAGAGCCATTTGGGCGGGCACATGAGCCCCAGCCAAACTTGCCTGCACTGCACATGCGCGTGCCTCCCAGCTTGTTTGAGGCCCGTTTGAGGCCTCCTTCGGCCTCTCAGAGGCTTGTGGGAAGCCTCTGCAGCCTCAGGAGGCTGAAAAACGGGCCTCGTGATTTCCTCCCAGCAAATTTGCTGTGCGCAGCTTCCCTTTTTAAACACTGTGTTCCCAGCTGCAGCTCATGAAGGGAATCAGAGCCCTTTCCTCCCCCATAAGCCATGCAACCCACATTACTCCCTTCTCCGTTCCTCCCTCCGTGCCCTAGGATGAAGAGGGGGGGTGGGCCTGGGTCTTCCTCCGAACTCCCTCTGCATTGCTCTACCTCTCCCCTGCTCTGCCCAGCCGCACTTTGCCCTTCCCCAGTTTCCTCCACAGCCAATGGAACCACAGTCCCACTACCTGTCAGCTGCTCGACCTCCCCCTCTGAGTCAGATTCCAACAGGGGCATGACTTTCTTTCTTAATCCCTTCCATCCGACTCTGGTAGCTTCCTCCATCTTCTCTCTGCCCATCTCCTTCCCTCCTCCTCCTCCTCCAGATGTGCAACCTGTTGCAGTTCTTCTGGGACCGCGAGCTGCAGCACCGCGTGGAAGCCATCATCGCTTTCTCGGAGCGCTATGTGGACAGGCTGCAGACCAACCAACGGCAGCGTTACTCAACACTGATGCAAGCCTTCACCATGTCGGCTGCGGAGACTGCTCGGCGCACCCGGGAATTCCGGTCTCCTCCCCAGGAGCAGGTATTGGGCGGGGCTCATGGGGATGGGGAGGAGCCAAAGTGAAATGGAGGGGAGAATCACTTAGTGGTAGAACATACAGAGGTGTTTTGTGCGTCGGCAATGTCTAGGTTTAGGCGTTTGAAACTCTGGGAAGGGCTAGTAAGTGGTTGTTTGAAATCCGGGACAGTTGGATAACTTGCTATTAAATGCGCCTGGGGAATTCCAGTTTAGGGTTTAAGTTTAGATTTAGATTTA